CTGCATACACGAGCCATTAGCGGGCTTGGTGGTCGGAGCCTTGCTCGAGCGCCCTCACAAACCCTCCCCCAGGGGAGGCCTTCCCCTGTGAGGGAGAAGTTTCGGCATCAGGGACCTTTCAGATGTATGCAGTCTTACAAGTTTTATGGCATAATGGTGAGCAGAACTTGGCTTAACTCAGGGCCGGGTCCAGGATTCCCGTAAGGAGGAGGGACACGGAGCAGTGTAGCGCGCAGTACCGAAATGGTAGCAATTACGGCTTTGGTCTTGCCATACTTATTCTTCTGTTCACTGGCTTTCCGTCCATCCCAAGCACTTTTGCGCTACGCGTCGTGATTTTCCAATAGAGTAAATAGTCGCATGAATTTGTTTTAATCCCACCTAACAGCTACGTATAATTCTAAGAATCTGCAACATGAACTTGTGCAACAGACTTAACGTCTGCAAGGATCTGTAATAGTGGTTAAATGGCTTACAGAAAATGTATGCACATCACAAGTCCATAGCTCAAACACGGGCAATTCATTTTTGCAAACCTCAACAACACACAAAAAAACAAAAAACAAATTTATCACGTATGCCTAGTCAGGTCGGCCAACGGTCCCCTGCACCCAGCGGTGAACTAACTTTGTTGATCTGAATGAGTAGCTATCATTATGTGGGGTAGGATCGCGGGAAATACAGTAATTCATCGTTATTCGCGTTCAATGATCCCAGATATTACTGAGTAGAATTCATCAGAACATATGCAACTGCTGCTATGCGTACCTTAGGCACCAATAAAACCGTCATGTCGTATATCTCGGAGCTCTCGTATTTGGCCAGACTCGTACACAACCAAAAATTGGAGAGGCCCGGAATTCATGTGACGTCATCTGAGCTGTCGAGGGTGCAGCGGCAGTTCAATACCTAGGCCTCCGTTAACAACGGAGGGTACTCTGATCAAACGGCGAGAACCAAAAGTCAATGTGAAGCTCCCCTGAGCGGTCGCATGTATCTGACGCGTGAACATGTATTAACCCCGGCGACGATGCACGATGCTGTAGACAAATCAGAAGTGTGTGATATAAGTTCACATCTTGAAACGTTGAATGCTATTGCGACGACCAAGATTTGCTCCATAACATTGTTTAGCCGGTGGCCCCTGGTTAAGCCGGTAGCTGGAAGGCACCTGGACTCGGCGTAAGAACTCTGAACTTATAATGCCAAATTGAAATACCCACGACCATTAAGGCGAGCCTCTGAGCGATCAGGAGTGTCCCGGCAAGCTAGCAGAAAGGGTCCTGAAAGGCATTTAGGACCATCCGCCATTGGGGGAAAATGGGGAAAATCCTACATCAACGGGCAGGGTCCTGAGCATTGAACGTAACGGTGGGTCAATTTATATGACCCTAAGCAACAACGCAAGTCCCTTCGAGCAAGTGGCCAGAACCCGACCCTATTCTGAAAGGCCCCTGAGCCGCAGAAGGTTAACCGTGGCGGCTAACGCTCAGGGACCTGTATCTTAACCCCGGTGGGTTAAGATATGTAGTCTTGGCAACAGAGTGTAGAGCCTCTCGGGCGAATGGAGAATAACCATGAACGACCCCTGAGCGATTGGGAGCGCCCCGCAGGCTGACATGGGGTTCCAGACATCAGCTTAGGGTCACTAGCAAATTGCGAGAACTTAACAGCAATATGGAAGACACTTGGCGAGCAAGAACGCTCCTGCAAGTCAGCATATAGGGCACCCGGTAAAACCGTAGGACCCTGAACAGCACAGTGAACTAAACCTATAAAGCCTTTCCAACCACGACCATTTCAAGCAGCCATAAAGTACTAGTACCTACTCATCGACCCTTCATACTTGCTTCGAGTTTACTCGTCAGCTAGAAGCCGAAGACGTCCGGTTGCCAGTGCTCCGTGTTAAAAACCTGCGTGTGTTCGGCCGGGCCTGGGCCCGTGCGGAGTCGACGACACTGTCCGTAGCCACCTCTGGACCAGCCACTGGCCGCAACACTGCGAGTGGGTGGGAAACATGGGGTCAGCGCCGGGGACAGGCCGCCGAGTGCGAGTTCATTTTCCCCCTCACTTATGATGTTTTAAAAGACCCCGAGTCTTGCCACACCACTCTCCCCATTCCCTAGCCCTGTAATAGTCATCGCTGGCCGAAAGGCCTATCACCCGAACCACACCAAAAGTCAGCAGGTGTAAGCTTTTACCTAGCTGACATAAACCTGATATTGCTTGGAAAATCCTAGGCAGTTTACATCAGGATTGCTTCCCTTTGCTTTAGAATTGTTCCCCTTTCCCTGAATTGCTTCGACGAAAGTATACAAAGCTGGGTGCTGGTTCAGCCAACGTACTCGGTACGCAGCAGCGCCACCTATTTGCCTGACGTGGCCGAGTGCGTAGTTGTAAATTTGAATGGACTATGATAACGCTTTCATGGTAGCATCCAGGTAATCATAAAATTGACGGTCAAATGATAACGTAAATCACCCACTACACAGGAAAGCTGAAACAGGAGTAACAGCGGACCGTTCGCGTCACGTCTTGGTGTGTCTGGGGTGCATGACGCACCCGAAGCCTCTCTGGCTATCAAACACGCGGACGAAGTCAGCTTTGGGTTCTGCTAGCTTCTGCTTCGTCACGGGGTTTTGACAGAACACAACATTGCGCAGCATTTAGGCGGGTGTACCCAGTGCACCTGCCTGGCTACGGGCCTGCGTATCAGGTAGTCGTATTTCCGAATCAGATTTCCCTGTTTCGGGACAATGAGGCCCTTTGCTGGATTTGGCGGTCCCTTTTGTGAGTGAGAAGGATCCTGTTCTAAATCCAGAGTGCCCTCCGTGCATAACAAAGCGCTTTCCCAGCACAGGAAGTCTTGTCTTCGTTGAGGCTCTTCGTTGCATTAAGAGAACACCTGTATTAATCAAAAGACTCATTCTGGACTTTTGTTTGTCAATATTTATTTGCGTGCCTATTGATGTGTGCAACAGTTTGATAAGGGGCCCCGTGCTTCCGGGGCCCTCCCTTGAATGAAATACCGCACAGGGGCCCCCTTGTGAGGAGGTCCCATTCCGTCCAGAAGGCCCCTGGAAAATATTGCCCCCCCCCCCCCCCTCCCCCCAGCTCAATACCCGCGTCACCGCCCCTGCCCCCAAACCGAATAGGGAACTACACCAATGGTGTCATATTGCCCGTGTTATACGTGTAATAGGCTGTTGGCAATGGGTTTAACCGGGCCGGCATTCAGGCGGCTCCGTCAGCGTTTAATCGTCGCGGCCGGCTGTGTTCATGCCCCTGGGTCGTTGACCACGTGACTTGGCCGGCTGTGTTCGTGCCCCTGGGCCATTGACCACGTGACTTGGCCGGCTGTGTTCATGCCGCTGGGCCGTAGACCACGTGACCTGGCCGGCGGTGTTTATGCAGCTGGGTCATTGACCACGTGACCTGGCCGAGGTTGTGTGTGCGGACCAAAGCGGCCGCAGACTTCGGGCAGGGACGGCCGGGTGTGGCCGAAAGCGAAGTTGGTTCAGACGCTTACTGTGAATATAAGGGACCGAAGTGGCCCAGGGTCTACATTTGCAGGGGCGTGCGCCAATAACAGCTACAACGACAGGTGACAACGCAGATAACTACAATAAAACAATAAGTTATAATAAATTATAATAATAGGAAAGCAACTAAAAAAGTCCACTTAAAGTGGAGCAGAGCGAGCTGCAACTACACAACATGTCGCATGTCATAAAGCAGCATCGTCTAATCTTGATCTTCTTGTTTTTATGTGTAGATCTAGGTACATTTTATATCAACGTCTCGCCACGTCCATAGCTATCACACATCACTCCGCAGCTAAACCATCGACAAATTACTCCTCAAACGGATTTCACCTAGGGCTTGGCCCAATTCCTCCCAAAGCCGGAGGGGCTGGAAGCCACCTCCCCCCACTGGACAGGACACTACACCCCTGCAAGGGTGGATGCGGAGCGAATCAGGGCACACGTCCCCCAGAGGCCGTCCAAACACTGTGTTACTCATCTGGTCACCAGCCTTCACCTACCCTGCGCTTCCAGTTATCGACATGTTTACTGAGGCTTTGCATGCTCAACACAAAAAGGTGTAAATACTTCTTGGCAGTGATATGCTAGATTTGTCGTTTGCCGTCTTGCAGAAAAAAATAATGTGCACATTCTTTTCTATCTTGTTCGAGGTTGGCAGGGGTTGAAGGTTGGCAGGGGTTGAAGCCTCGCACACCGCCTGTGGACCGTCGGATCACGCACGGCTGAAACCCCGCACGCCACCTCTGGGCCGTCTGATCACGCATAGCCGAAGCCCCGCACACCGCTTCCGGACCGTCTGATCACGCATAGCCAAAGCCCCGCATACCGCCTGTGGACCGTCTGATCACGCAGGACTGAAACCCTGCACACCGCCTGTGGACCGCCTGATCACTCAGAACTGAAGCCCCGCACACCGCCTCTGGACCGTCTGATCACGCAGGACTGAAACCCTGCACACCGCCTGTGGACCGTCTGATCACGCAGGACTGAAACCCCCCACACCGTCTCTGGACCGTCTGATCACTCAGAACTGAAGCCCCGCACACCGCCTCTGGACCGTCTGACCACGCAGAGCTAAAGCCGTGCACACCACCCCTGGACCATCTGATCACGCAGAGCTAAAGCCGTGCACACCACCCCTGGACCGTCTGATCACGCAGCGCTGAAACCCCACAATACTGGAACACCCGCATCGATGCAACGCAATCCAGTACGTATCGCCAGCCCGGAGAATGCCTACTCACGCGGCTACACCCCTTCCACAAAACGCCAACGCAGCCTCGCCACTGCCCCGGGCACGTCTATCCTATCAGCTGTGACATTCAGACGCCACATTGTTATGGCTGATCGCCACCGCCGATGCCCTGTGCGGGGACGGGCTATGAATTCCGGTGCGCTCTCTCGCACCGCCACCCGCCGGCTTACGCTCCGGCCGCGCTTCCTCCAACCCGGTGCATCGTTTCAAACTGTATTGTACGCTGCGTGTTCACCATACAAAACCGATCGCGGCCCGACGGCTGACAGCTTGCCAAGCACGCCAAACAAACACAACCAGATGACAATGACCTGTCATGGGAGAGCCGGTCCCGGCCGCCGCCGCGCCGCGGCGGCCCGACGGCGGCTGGGGCGGGCCCCTCTACAGGCCGCGCTACAGCCGCGGCTCGTCCCACGCACAGAAAGACGAAAAACAGCCATCCGCCGGCGACCGCTCGAAAACAACGTCGCCGAGCCTGGCCTACAAACATGCCCTTAGCGTGTGAGCATGACCGCGGAGGCGCATGGACTGCCCGGGACTCGCTCGGACAATGAGACCATCATGTTTATCCGTGCGGGACGAGGCACTCGCAGGCATTCATCGTCGACTCACGGACGTCCTGGCGCCGGAGTGGCACGCACCGGACGGCACTGGCACAGCTCGTGCCGACATGAGGGCAGCCAGCGCGCACCCTCCGGCGTCTCGCTCTCTTGCATGCTATTTTTGCACCACGCACTCTCTCGTATTCGGTTGGGAGCCGAGCGTACCGCGCCGACACGGGCGGCGGGCGGCGGGGACTACGTGGCAGGGGGGCGGGACCATGGAGAACTCCTGCAGCCATCGGAGGTGGCGGTGGCCTCTAGCCCAGCGACGGGAAGTCATTCTCGTCGTCCACCTTGGGCGCGTGCTGACGCGGCGCGCCGCGGCTGGAGCCGCGCGAGCCGCCGCGGTAAGAGCCGCGGTACCCGCCCTCTTCGTCTTCGCCGCCGCGGCCGCCGCGGTAGCTGCCGCGATAGCCGCCCTCTTCTCCGCCACGACCTCCGCGGTACCCTCCGCGGTAAACACCTTCTTCACCCCCACGACCTCCGCGGTAAGATCCGCGGTACCCGCCCTCTTCGCCGCCGCCACGACCTCCGCGGTAGTTGCCGCGGTAGCCGCCCTCTTCACCGCCGCCGCGGCCGCCCCGGTACCCGCCTCTGTAGCCGCCATCCTCGCCGCGGCCGCGGCCGCCGCGGTAGCCGCCGCGGTAGCCGCCTTCGTCGCCGTCCCGGTACGAGCCGCGACCCCGTCCTCGGCCGCCGCCGCGGCCCCGCCGGCTGTCCGAGAACGTGAACTCGATCTCCTTGACGAAGTGCTTGGGGCGGCCGTGGCGCACCTGCTCCTCATCCTCATCCTGGGAAGGGGGCGACAGGGGTCAGTGACGGCCTCGTCCTCAGAGGTGGCCGACAGCGGGTCAATACCAACCCTGTCCTCATGGAAAGAGGGCAGCACATCAACATCAACCCATCTTTCTGGGAAGAGGTGGAACAGCATGCACACAAACTTCGTCTCAAAGGGGGAGGGAGTGGCGGGAGGTAAACACCAACCTCGTCCTTCTTGGAACGGGACAACGGAGGGTGGGCACCAGAGGCCGCCGCCTGCAGCCCAGGCTAAAACCGCTACGCTACGGGCGTAGACAATCGATACAGAACGGAAGGGGAGCGAACAGAGTAGCTCACTACGTCATATGACATCAGACAGGTAATTAATCAACCGCTCTCTTCGGCAAACTAGTGGAACTCGCCGAACACAGCGACGACAAAATAGACGGTTGGGAGCGTGCAAGTAAACGGTTGCAGGAGACCTCTACATTGAAACTACGATAAGCTCTCCCGACACGGCTGACCGTCCCCTCACCGACTCCTCGTCCTCGTCGTTCTCCTCCTCGTCCTTCTTCTTCTTCAGCTCGAACGTGTTCTTCCACTGGGTGAGGTTCTCGCCCTCGCCGGCGCGGCGCACGTTGAACTGCGGCTGGCGGCGCGGCTCCTGCTGCTTCTTCCACTCGTCCAGCGTCAGCTCCTGCGGCCCCTCCGGCTCGGCGGGCGCCTCCTCGCCGCCGCCGGCGCCGGCGGCGTCCTCGGTCGGCTCGGCGGCTGCGCCCCAGGCCGGCTCGGCGGCCGGAGCGTCCCAGCCGGCCTCGGCAGCCGGCGCCGTCGGCTCGGCCGGCGCCTCCATCTCCGCCAGTTCATCCTGTACTGTACCCCAGTTGCCGCGGCCGCTGCCCTCCCGCTTGTCCACCGGCTTCACGCTGCTGCCGACAGAACGCGCGGGACTGTGAGGCCTGAGTTGGAAGGCAACGAAACTGAGCATCATAAGCCACCATGGGCAGTAAGCGGACATGAAGCCACGTTTCCACCGACAAAAGTTAAAACGGGCGGAAACAGGTCGAATTCCCTCATTATATTGCCTCAAGGCGTTCGCCGACCCGTTCGGGGCCGCTGCGCCGGCCCGCGCCGACCAGCGTCGCCTACTGACCTGCGGTCGGAGCCCGACTGGCGGTCAAAGTCGCGGTGGCCGCCGCCGCCGCGTCCGCGTCCGCGGCCTCTGCCGGGCGGCCCGCCCCGGCCGCGGCCGCGGCCCCGCTCGCCGCCCTCGGCACCGCCGAACCGCTGCGGCGCGCCGCCCTCCCTGTCAGCGGAGAGGCGCGTTCAGAAGCGGGCACGCACGGGGCTTTCCGGCCACCGTGACGCTATTGGCGAGGTGGCGCCGCACGGCGAGCACGACCCCCCGCCCCTGCACGGGGCGCCGTCAGCGGGACTGTGACACGTGCGGACCGCCCGTGTTCGCCGTCCAAGGGACAGAACTGGCACGAGGTGGACTATCGTTGTTTCTCGTCGACGGAATAGTCGGTGATGGCGCCGCGGCACCGCACAGCATCGTCAACTCTGCGCCCCGCGTGATCAGATGCTTCATTTCGGGACATGAGGTTGGCAAAACAAAATATACAATTGAGAACACAGCTTGAGGAAAGGCAAACAGACGTCGACATGCACTGACAAACGAACATGCACTGGCAATGAGCTGTCCTCCATATAGCTCCGTGTTGTACTGAGCACAAACCCCAGCAGCATCAGCGCACTCATTTGCACTCCCATATTTACCATATAATAGCAGTACATTTCAGGACTAAATTTACCCCAACTACTCCCTATGTACAAATATCTGGTCTTCATTGACATAATCTCGGGTTTAGTAGCATTGCACTGATATTCAAGACCGCTGACTGGGTAGGTGCACCTGTTGACCGCCAGATGGTGATGATCTCCAGCAAACAATACAAGACAGCCGGACAGGTTATATGACTTTTTTGTTTGTGTGAGAGCAAAACAGAAAAGCCACCTTTTACAACAACTTTCCCCATGTCTTTATCACATGGAAGACGTTCGAGGTTCTGATATCGACGCATAAGGACACCACCAAAAGCAATTTCACATGAAGAACCACCACTGTGCCCAGTGCATACATCCCGAGAACCACCAATGTGCAGAGCAAAGGGTGACTCCCGACTACCGCCCATCGCACCGCCTGCTCATCATCCGCCTCCCTCCCCCCCCCCCCCCCCCCCTGTACCCCCGCAGATGGGACCAGATCAGACACGGGCACCCAAGGGACGGCGTCCCTCCTCTGGAAGGAGACACCGTCAGGTGCACCCGTTACCGGGGAGCATCGCCCCGCAGTGGACGGAACACCGTCAGCAGCAGCGGCGCCAGGTTACCTTGCGGGCAGGTTCGCACACATATCTGTCGTGTTACCTAATCAAGATATTACGCAGTGCCGTTAGCAAAGGAACGGCTAAACGGCTGTAACGGATTGAGATATTGTCAATGTCCGCTTGTGGAAACGGACACCAGCGAGGCTCACGTGCTGTGACGAAGGCACAAGCACCTGAATGGCTAAATCACACCAAAGCGTGACGTATCGAAAAGCCGCGACTTCCGAAACAACATACTAAAACAAACGAAACAACATACTAAAACATAAGAAACAACGCGTTTACATGTGAGCATACATCATTAACCCGACAAACCTGTTCACTTGCTCCGGCTTCTGCCTACAAAGCACAGTTCCAACATTTGGTACCGTTGCTGCAACTTTGCTTATAAACTTGTACGTTATCGCACTCTGATTTCCGGCCTCCAGAGCACTGTTACCGATATGCTGGCGAGTAGCTCATCAACTGAATAATATCGTTCGTTATCTCTTTTTCCATTATCTAGAAAACTTCGGACTTAAACCACCTCTATAACCCTACATCCCAATGAATCAGTTCTACACCGAACTTCTAAAACCAAAACAAAGACGTTCAGAGCAACTGTTGTGCGAAGTGAAAACGCACCGAGTGCATTACTTCAACTTTCGCATGACCGGGATACGGCTATGGTTTCCGGCCGCGCCAACTTACTGCGCTGATATGTGGAATGACATCCTATAGAATACGACTGAGTTATATTCTGTGCACAATGTGTGTTTTCAATCATACAATTTCATGACTTCTATCAAGCGCACGAGCGTTTAGCTGTTTGAAATATTCGCTGTTCAAAACAAAACAAAATTGCACTTCCAGGTTGTCCAACTGGACGGAGTCCGCACAAAACCTTCAGAATCATGGCATCACTTACGACAAAGACTAGCAATGACACACACCAAGTCACGCATGCTCACGCGTGTCTGTCTGGTGTCATGCATTAGTTTGACACAACAACCGCAAACACAAAGAAGCCATAACCTGCTTCTGGATCTCTTCAGGTCCTTTGGCTGGCTTTAAATACAAAGGAAGCAATAGTTTTTTTGGTTTTGTGTGTAGCATCATCTCAATTTGGCAGATGCATTGTCATATACTAACATGTGCTCCAGGTTCACAACCATGCACTCATATTGCAAATGTGCCAGCTGCCAATTTTTGAACTACCAGAGCTGCTGCAAACACCATTGTGTACCAATGTTCATATCCTGCTTTTGACTGCACCCAGCACAGCATGTTAAATGGGCCACCAGACATTGCACCAGTCACTACAATAGGTCAGTGCCAATTGTTAGGACAGCTGCACAACAGAACTGGGTCATGGTGGGTGATAGGCCCAGCTGAGTTGATCAGTACAGCATGTCCAACACGGGCCTCAGACAACCAGGCTACCAATCACAGACCACCTGCCACCACAGTAGACCGTTCTATCCCAAAAATGCTGCAAGGGTAGTGGCTGGCCTCTGCTGGAGGGCTGCCCATGGCTGGAGGTGTGGGTAGCCGCCGCTGCACCATTTACCTGGCGCTGTCGGCGCGGCCGTCGTCCCAGTTGCGCCGGTTGTTGCGCTCCTCGCGCGACTCGGCCGGCGCGCCGTGACCGCCGCCACGCCGCCCCACGGCGCCTCCACGCCGCC